GGAAGAAAGCATAACTAAGATACCCTCAACTCCAATCGTTCCTAATAATCGAAGTTCAGAACTCGTACCATTTGCGAGGTACATTGCAAGAACCTACTCAATAAAAAACTCTAAATTCTATAGCTTATAAAGCCGTACTTCACGTGTTACAATGTCCTGGACTTAGTTTAGAAACATAAGAGGAACTTGTAATCTTCTTCCCTATATTCAAGTATATTAGTTGAAGGGCGTACCCTTTAATACTCGTCCTGCCATACGTTGTTTTTAAGCCCACGACACCACAAAGGGAGGAAGGAATACGAACCGAACCTGCCATTATACATTATCTTAAAATTTTCACACTGAACTAATAGCAAATGATTTGCTGGAAGAAAATAAACCTTTTCGTTGAAACGAAACGTCCTTGCGACATTACAAAATAAAATACGGAAAATCAAGAACACGGAATCTAAAAGAAGTATGTTTCCCTACCTCCACCATCTGTTCCAAGTGCAGCAGAACAAATACCAGAAGCAACAATGGCTGCAGGACCTGAGGATGACCCACCTGTGTACCTATCAGGTGCATGAGGATTTCTTGTTGTTCTGCACACACAATGAAATCATGAAGCTTAACATTTGATAATGAACGACTCGACAATTTCCAATCATACAGTCAAAAATGCAACCTCCAATTCTCAGATTATACAGCATTAATGTAAGATCCCACATTGGTTGGGGAGGAGAACGAAACACCCTTTGTAAGGGTGTGGAAACCTCTCCCTAGAAGACGCGTTTTAAAATCTTGAGGAGAAGCTCGAAAGGGAAAGCCCAAAGAGAACAATATTTGTTGGCGGTGGGCTTCGGCCGTTACAAATGGTATCAAAGCCAGACACCAGGCGATGTGCTTGCGAGGAGGCTGAGCCCCAAAGGGAGGTGGACACAAGGCGGTGTGCCAGCAAGGACGTTGAGCTCAAAGGGGGTGGATTGCGGGTTCCCACATCGATTAGAGAATGGAACGAGTGCCAACGAGAACGCTGGGCCCCAAAGGGGGGGTGGATTGTAAAATCCCACATTGGTTGGGGAGGAGAACGACACACCCTTTATAAGGGTGTGGAAACCTATCCTAGCAGACACATTTTAAAATCTTGAGGGGAAGCCTGAAAGGGAAAGCCCAAAAAGGACAATATCTGCTAGCGGTGGGCTTGGGCCGTTACAATTAATGTTGTCAAGTTAGTGATAAGCGACACATACCCATAATTTGGATTATTTCCAGTTGTACCCATACCCAACTCGTGCATATTTGCTTTCCCTACAAATATTACACCACATCTACGTAACCTCGAAACAGAATCTGCATCCTTTTCCACAGAGCGGACCTCATGCATCCATGTCGATGCACCTGTAAGTATAAAATGAAAACCTTAATCTATACGACTTCACGGAAAACCTTTAGCTCTTCCCAAGATTGTTAACCTTTAGTTGGATGTGGGTAACAGTCTATATCATCCTTGATTGCTATAAATATCCCATCCAAGATAGACAATGGATTCCCTAAACAACCAAAGAAAATCAAAGAAAATCAGCAATTATTGCAACTTATCAATATGCAAAGGAGATAAGAAAAATGAGTCAATACCTTCCTCAAACCTCTGTGTAGAAGTAGCTGCTTGCTTCATGACTTCCTCAGGATCAAAAGAAATCAATAAAGGTGCTGCTGGTTTTCTGTGATTGAACTCCTGTATAATTGAAATTATGTGTTCCGCGACCTATTACAATGTCATAATGGAAAAACTTTAGTTAGTTAACCACAAATAAACGAGGTCCGGGCATCTAGAAGCTAGTTATCGAATACCATGGAAGGGGTCGTATGCCTTGACCGATACGCATGTGCATAGTCACGAATTTTCCAATATCTGAATGGTGAAGATGGGTCACTCTTAACACGATCAATGGGATCATAATGTGGAAGACACTTCAAAGCTTTGTCTACTCGGTCTTCAGGTTTCCCATCTTCATCGAGGGTTGATATAACAGGCTCTTCTTCTAAAAGTTCATAAGATATATATTGGGCATTTCAGTGCTCAGAGGATCATACATTATTTGGAAGCATCTTGGTTGTTCAATTAGTTGATCATATGAAAAGGCATAGTTAAACTATGACTATTTTTCCATTTTCTATCCCAGCATACGTAAAATTTTCACCATTTCGACTACCCAAAACGTTAAAATACCTCGAGAGAAGGAAGTAGTGTTTGAATTGCTAAGCTACGCTCACATTGGCAAGTAAATCAAAATCCATTGCACTTAGATAGTATCAATAGTGGTTCCATTCATAATCCTAAACAAGCAATTCGAAGAACGACACCAAAATAATTGCTGAAAGATCGATGAACAAGCCGAATCTTACTTCCCTTGTAGTGATTCTGTGAGATCCCATATCGGTTGGGAAGGAGAACGAAACACCCTTTATAAGGGTGTGGAAACCTTTTCCCAACAGATGCGTTTTAAAAACCTTGACAGAAAGCCCAAAAGGGAAAGCCCAAAGAGGACAATATCTACTAGCAGTGGGCCTGAGCCGTTACAAATGGTATCAGAGCCAGACACCGGGTGATGTGCCAGCGAGGAGGCCGTTCCCCGAAGGGCGGTAGACACAAGGCGGTGTGACAGTAAGGACGCTGGGCCCCGAAGGGAGATGGATTTTGGTGGGGGTCTCACATCGATTGGAGAAAAGAACGAGTCCTAGCGAGAACGCAGGGCCCTGAAGGGGGGTGGATTATGAGATCCCACATTGGTTAGGGAGAAGAACGGAACACCCTTTATAAGGGTGTGGAAACCTTTTCCTAGTAGATGCGTTTTAGAAACCTTGAGGGAAATCCCAAAGAGGACAATATCAGCTAGTGGTGGGCTTGGGCTGTTACAGATTCCTTATCATTTAATGATATATCACTACAAGGGAAGTAAAATTCAGACTACCTTATTGATCAAGTCAAGCTTGAATGATTTTACATGCAACCTAAACCAAGCTTAAATGATTTTACATGCAACCTAAACCACACCTAAACCACATAAAATTGCAAAAAGAAACTTCGTCATTGGCTAAAGGAAAGCACAAATGCTCTTCTTACTACATTTTCCAAGTCTGTTTTACAAAGATAACATACATGGCTTTATATAGCATCAAAATAAAAACCCTTAATCTTCCCTGACGCATTCCAAGAGTTGTAACTATATTTTATGACCATAATTAGCCACTATGTATACTTTATGGCCATAATTAACCACTATAACTCTAAATTATGATCCACCCAAAATTTATAACAATGAAACTTGATTCTTCCCAATGTGGCATGAATTGAAACATCTTTCGATAATTTCGACAACGTTTTCTTCCCATCTTCCTTAAAGTTTATATTGCATGATTGATGTCTTGTTCATATCACGAATAATTAAGCAACTAACTAGAACGGTATCATTCGACAAAAACAAAGAACCTTGAGGAGGAAATTCGGGCTTAAACATAGGTGCCTCTGGTATCACTGTATTCAACAACAGCTGCCAATGACAAGAACACAGAGAAATTTCAATGATCAAACGAAAGGAAGACAAAAAGAACTAAAAACTCAAAAGACCTCCTCTATTTTATTCTGCTTCTTCAACATGGAGACCACAAAAGAACCAATAACCGGCATTTCAAGGATCCCAACAAAAAGCTTGAAGAGAAACCCAGCCAAATGAGGAGCTGCTACCAAATCAAAACCAAAATCAAAATCAAAATCAAATTGCTACCCATTTCTACCCTAGAAATCATCCAATGAACAAACAGGGGTTTTAGAAGATAACCTTGAATGACCTCTTTCTCGTATTTGACCGCCGATAAATCGAGTTTCTCAACCGGTACCATCACTCGCTTCTTCCCCATTTCAATGGGGCTTTTGATCTTCGTTGAAAAAAGAAGGGGAAGACAGAGAATGACACGAAATTGAAGGGATTAAGCTCTGGGAAATACGAGAATGACGAACGATTGAAGGGTTAATTTGAAGGCGATGAATTCGAAGTAGGTAAGAGACGATTGAGCCGTCGCGAGGGAGCATAAGGGTATTGAGTATAGGATTATTTGCCGCCCAAATTCCTCGCTAAGTCCAATCCTACAAGAAAAGGGTTGAAGGAAGTGAATTTTGTGGGTCAGTTAGTATTGAATGGAATTGAATTATGAACGTTCATATGATTTGGGTAGTGACGGAATAAAAAATGTATTTTAGAGACGGGAAAAAGGAGAAATTCAATAAGCTTTTCACTTTGTGGTTTGATCTTCAGCCACACTGATTCCAATGTTCATAGTTGTAGAAAGGTAGAGATTGTTTTTTAGTTTTCGAAAAAATGGGGGGAGGGACTGTGGAACTTTTTTTTTCCTTGGATAAATGGGATCGGGGACCGGATTATATTCCTTGTCCTCGTCACCACTCAATTTTCCGTCTTCACTCTTGTTTAATATAAATATATTTCCAATATATATATAGATACACACCACTGGAATAAGTTCATGAGTATATTTATGTGCGTAAATATTAAAAAATGAGTTAATTTTGAGACTCGAACGGTCATATATATATATATATATAATCTAAATACTATGTTACAGATCGTTTAATGGTTAAAAATTATGTCGGTATAACAACTAAATTAATAAAAATAACTACTAGCAAATTCTAAAAAAAAATACGTTTAAGCTTTCAAAAAAAATTCAAAAGTAATTCTACAATTAATTTTTGTATGGATACGTTAATATTTTATTTAAAAAATATCTTTGAATTTTCAAAATTTTCATTTTTAAAACTTCAAAAAATGCAGGTACAATTAGGTGTATTTTTGTCCAGTTTTTTTTTATTTTTATTTTTTTTACGAAGGTAAACCGTGTTAATACTATTTGTAAAGTTTTTGTTACTTTTAAAATCTTATGGTTTTATTTTTTTTACGAAGGTAAACCGTGTTAATACTATTTGTAAAGTTTTTGTTACTTTTAAAATCTTATGGGAAAAATTACAGTCGAAAAATCTCCGCTCCGATCCCCACAAAAATAAATGGAAATTTTCGTGGGGATGGAAAATGAAATAGGTGGCACAAATGGACTTCTCCGTCATCGTCTCGCCCCGTGGAAATCTCTATCTCCATCCCCATTTCCATCTCTAATCTCACCCGTCCCATCCCGCTTCGTCTTGTGGACATCTCCATCTCTATCTCCATCCCCATCCCCAATCTCGCCAACTCCGCTCCACTTTTATATATAATGGCAAAAAAAAAAAAAAAAAACTCCATCTCTAACTATAATATATATATTGATTGCACATATAAAACAATATTTATAGAAGGACATTAAATATTACCACTAAAAGCTACATATTTAATGCAATTAAATGAGATATGAAAGTAGTTGGAATAGGTAAGCTACTTTGCTTGACTAATTAATTTAATTTAATTTTTTTCTTTTTTCCAATTATTGGTTTGGATATCAAAATTCTAAAATTCACCTGAGATGAAATGTTTTTTTTTTTTACTAGGTAAAAAATATTTACTAAATGGATAATATATTATAATATGTTAGACTTAAATATTATAAAGTATATAAATATTTATTTAACTCATTTAAATCATATATTTTTATTTAATGGGTAATATATATTAATTATTTTAATATTAAATATAATTTTATCAGCTTCAAATTAAATATATTTAAATTCCTCTGTAATTAATATATTAAATATATTAAATACTAATTTAAATGTTTTAAGTTTTTTTCTTTTTGTCTATAAATATTGATATAAGACACTTCAAATTAAATATATTTTTATGTTTTGTATATCATATATCTAATATAAATATTATTTTAAACACCTATTTTTTTTTTTTTATTAAATTGATCATTTTAATGTTACAGTCGACTCCTAAATATTATAAGCTTAAATGATACAAAATTACCCTTTAATTAATCAATTTTATGAACTTAGAGTGGAGTTGCACTCTCAAGTACAACAGGACAAGTTATATTCATTAATATAATCATTACGGAGTAAGTTGATTTTTCAAGAGTTGTTTGTAATTATAATTGAGTCAAAAGTCAATTTTACCCCTGTAACTATGTGTTCGTTTACCTGATGTGGGAAGCAGTGATTCCATCTTGTGAAATTATGTTTCCAGCTCTCTATTTGGTTTAAGTACTCAAAATGGTATGCATATTGAATTGACTGCAAATTCTCACCCGTGCAAATCAAATAACAAACCCTCACAGATAGGAGTTCTTAACTCACATAGCATTAAGATCGAGTCATATATAATCATTCTCTAAAATATTAATATTATGAATCAACCAATTTACAGAGAAAAATTATTATATATATCAACACCGTGTTCATTCTCTTGTAGTAGCATAGTTACAGGAACCCTAAAATCCAGAAGATTTTTAGTATGAACAAAACATGATGAAAGAACTAATATTCATCTGTAGAGATAATCTTCATTCTTAGAAACAGTTTAAAACAAGTACGTAGCATGACTCGGTCGTAGGAGATGTGAAGGAATGTCGAGGCTGTGTACCAAATAAAATTTCAAATTCTGATCTCGAGCGTTTTTTTCATTCTTCCTACTTTCATTCGATTTATCTAATCGATAATCTCCGGTTAATTAACATCAATGTCTTAGACTCATTTATTGACTTGTATTTTATCAGTGTTTATCTTTTTACGTATTCAAGTCAATCTCAACCTAATTTAAAACGTACGAGTCAAAACTAACCTAAATTTTTAATATTTTTTAAAAAAAGAGCTGTCGATTTCTATTACTAAGTCAATAATCGAACCTAATTAAATAATTAGTAATGACTTTATGGGCAAGTTGATTAATGGTTCCACCCTAGGATTCAAATGAAAAACCCCACCAATACTTCATAAGCTATTAAATAAAAAGGTCAACATCCATAAACTTGTAACATGAAACTTGCCCACAAGATTAAATATTAAATTCCAATCTTTATATATATATATATATATATATATATATATATCTCGAGGGGCATGATTTATCGATGGAAACTATTTTAAAAGAATAAGAACATAAATTTCGAGAAACCAACCGCTTTTTAGAGTTTGATACGGAGTATAACAGTCCAAGTCTACTGTTAGTAGATATTATCCGTTTTGAGTTTTTACTTTCGGGATTTTTCTCAAGGTTTTAAAACGCGTCCGTTAAGGAGAAATTTCTGCAACCTTATACGGAATGTTTCGTTTCTCTCTTTAACCCATTTTTATTTTTAAACGGTTTAAGTTCTTGACATCATTTACGAACTATTTTACATAAAGTATTTGCACTTTATAGTTATGTCATGCATGTCGTAGCGACTCAATTTTAGTAGAAAAATAGGATCGTTACAGTTGGTATAAGAGCTCTAGACTTATAGATTCGGTAGACTAGCTTATGACGTAGGCTTATGATGTTCCCATGGCCCTTTACAGTGAACGTTTCGTCAGCGTCAGATATGCCTTACGAGATCTCACATCGATTGGAGAGAGGAACAAAACATTCCTTACAATGGTGTAGAAGCTTCTTTCTAATAAACAATATCTACTACTAGTGAGTTTGAGTTGTTACACGAACACTAAATCAAATAGTCTATTTATACATTTCCTAAAAAAATGACAGAAATATTACCGCTACTCTGTTTGTCGATTCCTATATGCCTTTTTTTTTTTTTGACAATATCAGATAAAAAACAGCCAAAATCTGATATATCTACTCGACAATTCATCTGGTGGCTTCACTAGTAAGAATTCAACAGAATGAACGGGAGGCATCGGAGGAAGGACGGACATAAAGACCTACTTATTCTATGTGAGAAAAGACTTAGAAGAATAAGGGTTGAATTATGAATAGACTTCAAAGACTTTTTTTTTTTTTTAATAAAAAAAAATAATGTGGAAGAATTGGATTCCTTCTTTTCAATCATTTTATAGGGAAAGAAAGACTTTTTGGTTTTATTTATTTATTTTCTATTATTATTTTCCAACCACTCTAACGTGGGCCCCATGGGGAGCCCCTTTTTTGTCATTTTCTTCCTCTTCACGCTCCAGGAGATCCCCCAAATTGCTTTATCTCCTCCACGCCGGATCTCACGCGTTAACCCACTTTCCACTTTTACCCCTCTCCATCCCTTTATTTACAAATACAACACGTACCTTTATATATACATATATATATACACACATATATATACACACACACACACATATATATATATATATATATATATATATATATATATATATTAAATTGTTAATATTACTTATGTCATTTTTAAGTTCACCAAAATTTAAATAGTAAAAAAATTGAATTTTAAATTGATTTCGTACGTTGGAATGTTTTTTAGTTATTTTTTTAGATTTCCAATTAATTGTTTAAATTGTAACAAAAATATATATATATAATTTTTGAATTGGATTAGTTCGTATAATTTATTAAAATAAATTAATAAAAATAAAACATTTAGTTACATTTCTTTGAACTGAATCCAAACCAAAAAATTTATAGCCATAAACTGTACTGATTGGGTTGATCGAGTTTTTTAGATTGTTTGTACTTCTATAAACACCCATAAATAATATTAAAACAAGGTACAATTTTTTTTTTATCTGTTTTAAAAGTTTAAAAGTATTATTACAATATTTAAAAATTAAATAATATTATTGAAACGAAAAATAAAGTTTACTGTCCACCTAGAGAGAAAAAAGTCAAAAGTCAAATATATCATTAAAGAACACATGATATGAATGTCGATATGTTTATTACCAAAATATCTTAATCATATTCTTTATTGCCTTTAATTTCTTTTATTAATCTTATAATGAATAATATTTTTTCATTACAAATAAATCCTCAATTTTCAAAGGAATTATTATAATTTTTTTTTATTATTATTAAGGATACACTTGAAAATATAAATCAATTTCTAATTTTAAATAATAAAAAAGGATAATTTATTTATTAAAATTATTTAATTTGTTGTCAATTTTAAGTGATCTTATCGGCTGGGTTTCCCGTTATATCTGGCACTCATCAATAAATGCCACGTGGCGCAAATTCCACCTACTCCACGAATAAATCATTTTTTAATGTAATATTTTAGTTTAGGAGAAAAAAAAAAACCACTTTTTTTTTTAATTTATTAGCTGAAAAAAATATCTAACTTTCATTTTCATATAATAATAATAAATTAAATTTCTAATAAATCTAAAAATAATTAAATCATTTGATTTATTTATATAAATTTAATAAATTTGAGTTTTATATTTAATGCAGACTTTATTTGAATTATGATTTATTCCTCTGCCTCTCCTGCCATATGGTCACTTTATTTACTCTTCGCTTTCAAAAGTGAAAACTATACCTACAAGCTAACACGAGTACTTCCAACACAAAATTTCTCCAAGCAAAACACGCTTAATTATGAAGTTTCTATAGCCAAGTCATCGTCACAATCACACTTTAATGGCATCGGATTTGCGATTGTACGACACTCACTTCCTAGCAACAAGTGAGTTAAGCCTATTTGTTCTTGCGTCGCCTACGGCCAAGCAACGTATGCTCGAGCCTCTGGTCCCGGTTCAAGAAGAAAGTTTTAGAAAATGGGGGCAGAGAGATTTCGAAAGCGAGTTTTAAAAGCAAGATTTGAGAAATTGAAATTTGTGTTACATGAAAATGTAAGCAAAAGGCAACAACAACGACTTACTACATATAACTATCGGGCAGGGGATACAGGAAGGTGCATGTTATTGATATAAGTAATAAATTTCATTTTTTTAAATTTTTTTTAGTTATCTTATCCTTAGAACCACTCTCGTTCAATTTGGTCTCGGTTCAGTTAACATATTTTTATCTATTCTTTAGAAGAAAATTCGGAAAATCACTTAACATACTCGAGTGTCACAATAATAATATATATAATATAAAGTACATCGATCATATATAAAACGAATCATTGATATACATAATACCAAAAAAATATATATATCAATCATATTCCAATTTTTTTTCTTCATAAATGTTTATAATATATTTTAAAAAGAAGATCGGTATAAAGTGAGTAAAACAAAATAAAATGATCCAAATGAAATAAAGTATTCCACATGAAATGGTCCATATGTTATGATAGATGACTCTCGGGTCCATTTTTAAATATATCTGATTGGATAAGGCATATTAATTATCATCTTAAATGTTGATGGTTCGATTTTTTATCTGCCATTATTAAATTAAAAAAATAGAAAAATATATTTAAAATATTACAACGCTATACTTAAGTTCTAAAATATAGGTTTTTTTTTCATAAATTTACGTTCATGTATCTAAAAAAATATTTATTTATTATTTATTATTTTATTTTATTTATATATATATATATAAAAATAAAATAAAATAATAAATAATAAATAAATATTTTTTTAGATATATATATATATACACACGAACTTAAAAGGTTAAATTGATATACAATTGATCGATTAATTTTTACGGGGACTGAGGCGGAATTCTCCATGAGGAATTAATCCTTGTTCCCGCTCTTTTATCAAATCCTCATATTCGCGAAATTCTCCATTTAGTCTTGTAGGGATTGGGAGCGGGATTCTCCATGAGGAATTAATCTCTGTCCCTGCTTCTATTATCGAACCATCATCTTTGCGAAATTCTCCATTTATTCTTATGGGAATTGGAGCGGGATTCTCCATGAGAAATTAATCCCTGTCTCTGCCCCTGTTATCAAATTCCCATCTTTGTGAAATTATCCATTTATTCTGGCAGGGATTGGGGCAGAATTCTCCACGAGGAATTAATCTCTGTCCCTCCTGTTATTGAACCCATCTCTGCGAAATTCTCATGGGAATTGGGACAGGATTTTCCACGAGAAATTAATCCTCGTCTCCGCCCCTGTTATCAAATCCTTATCTCCGCGAAATTCTCCACTTATTCTTGTTGGGATTAGAGCGAGATTCTCCCCGAAGAATTCATAGAGATTATACTCCTCGCAATAAACATATATATAATTTACTATGAGTGGGGTGAGAAGTTGGTTGTCACAATCGCACTTTTGATGATATCGGACTTGCGATTGTGCAGCACTTACTTCTCAGCAACAAGTGAGTTAAGTCTATTCGTTTTCGCGTCGCTTACGACCAAGCAACGTATGCTCGAGCCTCTAACCCCAGTTCAAGAAGAATGTTTTAGAAAACGGGGCAAAGAGATTTTGAGAGCAAGGTTTGAGAAATTAAAATTGGTGTTATATGGGAATGTAAGCAAAATGCAACAACAACCGCGTACTGCATATAACTATCGGTAAGGAGAAGTTGACAACTAGTCATATCTCCTATAATACATTTTGAGGCATTTCATGTCTGACAAAGAAATATCATCCTAACTACTTAGTATAAGAATAATTAAACGGTTAATAAATGTTTATAACAATTTATAATAAATTTAAATTGTTGATCTTTGAAATGATAATTAATTGACGGGTGGATAATTACGACTATGTATATAAAACCGCTAAAGAAAGCGAACTCCAACCCACCACCTGTCCGAAACGAAAACGAAAGCAATAGAGAGAGAGAGAGAGTGTGTCACTCCCCATCTCTGTTTCCATTTCCATTTCCATTTCCATCAGGTAATCCTCAGAAACCTCTGAAAATAAATTCCCCCAATCGGATGAAACCTCTCCGCTCCGGCTGAAGATTTCATCTCCTCCGCCATGGACAATTACGCGTACAATTCCTATGCTGAGTCCGGCGACTCCTCCCCTCGCTCCCGCGAGATTGATTTCGAAAACCCTCCTCCATGGGACGACGCCCAGCTCCAGAACCAGAACTACAAGGTCAAGTTCATGTGTAGCTATGGCGGAAAGATCCATCCACGTCCTCATGATAATCTCCTCTCCTACGTCGGTGGCGAGACTAAGATCTTTGCCGTCGACCGTTCTGTTAAGTTTGCTTCCATGCTTGCTAAGCTTTCTTCGCTCTGTGATACTGACGTTACCTTCAAGTACCAGCTCCCTGGCGAGGATCTTGATGCGCTGATTTCGGTTACCAATGATGATGATCTCGAGCATATGATGCACGAGTACGATCGCCTCTATCGCGCTCCTGGAAAGCCCGCTCGGATGCGGCTTTTCCTCTTTCCGGCTAATCAGAGCCCTAGCTTTGGGTCTGAGGGAGGTAGATCGGATCGGGATCGATTTGTGGAGGTTTTGAGTTCTGGTTCTACCCATGGAGGTGATGTGCCTAAGCAATCTGTTCCGAATAAGGTGGATTTTCTGTTTGGTTTGGACAAGGGCGGAATCGCGTCTCCTCCTCCACCTGTGGCGCTCAAATTGCACGATCCGCTGCCTGAGCCGGTCGCTCCGCCGATGGAATCTGCTGCTCGACCTGTTCCGGGAGATCGGATCGCTGTATCGGATCCTGGGGTTCATCCGGCCGAGATTCAGCGTCAATTGCAGGAATTACAGAGGTTGCATATTAGCGAACAGGAGCAAGCCGCGGCGTATCGGAGGAAACCTGAAGAGCATAATCTTATGGGAGGTTACGGCGGCGATTTCTACGCGCAGAAGATGGTGGAGAAGACTCCACCGCCGAGCGCGCAACCGACCTTGCAGCCACCGGCTGGATACTGGTCGGAGAAGCAGGTTTCCAGCGGAGGTTTCCCGGCGACGATGACGGCCACACCCGGTGGACAAGACCAACCGCCTGTCTACATGATCCACGCTCCCGGTGCGGTCTATCACTCGCCCCAACATCCGATGGTGAGACAAGTTACCGCTCCCCCGCCCAATCAAGGCTACTACGCTGTACAGCGTATGGCCTCAGATGTGTACCGTGAGCAACCGGTCTACAATGTTGTACAACCTCCACAACCATCTTATCCGCCCACTTCATCGCCGTCTCTGCCGCAACAACCTCCGAAGGTCGCCGCCTATCCCGGAGGCGGTATAACTCTTGCAGCAGATTCAGGGCCTTACACACAGGTGGCCTACGACAGCACCACCGGGAGACAAGTATACTACACAGCCGGTGGAGCCGCCATGGTAGCATCGCCTCCAACGCCGCCATACCAGGGGGTGTCGGCGCCGATGAGCGGCGATATTAGAACAGGACCAGTGGGACAGGATGGGAAGCTGATTGCAAAAATTTCACAAGGCTCAGTTTGAATAAGGACAACAGCATGTGGTATAAAAATTTTGAGCTTTTCTTTTTCATTTTTCTTTATATTATATGAATCCCGACTCTTTAATTTACATGCTTATGCTATTATATGCTCGTTTGCTTCTCGATCTGTGATAAAAAAAAAAAAATTGAAAAAAAAAGCATAATTATGTTTGTTTATGTTATCATGTGCTATGATCATCCATCTATCTGGGTGTGTATACAACATTTTAGAGGTTATAAAACCATTTTCTCTTTCACTTTTCACTTTTTTCTTGTCTATTCTTCTGGTAAAAATATTTGTGACTTTGCCCATGTTTCAAAACCTTTCGTATTCGTTTGATCTTATCCTTTCGTAAGAGTTTCAAACCTATTTGCATGTGGAAATCCATTAGAATGTTGGTCAAGAATTGAGACTTAGATCGATGTGACAGTCATTTAGAACAAAAACAGGGACCCACTTATTATTGTCGCATCGATTCCATGTCTCAATTTTCATCCAACTTTTAGCGGATTTTGAAAACGTTTACGAAAGATCTTTTTTGTGCTTGGTGTTTAGCCTTTTAACTTAAAAGTAGTTCTCGGATGAACAAATATAAGTTCATCAGCACCATCTTACCTTCTCCATTTCAAATTAGCTTTAACTTAGAATGCGTCTTGAAGTTATAAGTCGTAGATTCGGGTCTTGATTATACTGGGTGAGAAAGTTATTCTGGCTGAAAATATTGAGTTTATTTTGGTGCATGATAACAACAGAACTGATTCCATAGGTTTTTTACTTTTGAAAGTATCATTTTTTGGGTGAAGTTGGGAAGATGCCATGTATGGTGTAACCAAGGAAATTAGTTGGAAACCCAGACAGAGAATCCTCCCCAATTACCAAGCCTAGCCTGCGTCTGTTTGGATTTGGACGGTGTCTTTGTTTTGTTTTGCAGCCAGCCTGACATCACCCACTCACCCAAACCTAATTCCGAGTGCGTACGACCAATTTGTACAGAGTTAATAGGTGATTGAGTCAAGTCTCTTGAATCTTTGGCGACTATAAAGTCATTGAATCTTTGACGACTATAAAGTCACAGGATGAATTGCCAAGTAGATAGATCAGATCCAGACTCTATCTACTCCTACTCCTTCCTAGGTACCATAGCATGTCAGGAGAAGCTATCACTCTTGGAAGTCCTTGCAATTGTTCGACAACAGATCGAGTTCAAGAACTCTAGGAGAGAAGCCTATTTACGGAGTGAAAGAAGGGGAAGAAACAACTCTAGATGCCTCCCGTTCAGTTTGTTTCATTCTTTCATGTTTTTTGTTTTGTTTCGCTCGTAGATACCAAGCCCTCTCTTGCCTTCCACATCTCTCCGTTCTTAGCTATTTCTACTGTTATGTTTTCTCTTTTGAGGTCTCCAATAGGATTTGAGTTTGCAGAAAGATTATTTTCGGTAGAAATCGAGTTTTGAACGCCTTTCAAGAAGGTATCTTTCTATGAAACCGCCTTTCAAGAAGGTATCTTTCCATAAAGCCGTTGACACAAAAATCTTGTTGTTGAAGCGACAGAGGTTGTGGTTTCATTGGATTAGTTTGCAAGTTTTGTTCCAAGTTGAAACGATTCTCTTGGGGTAAAATCCACTCATTTTCATAATGATTCTATACCCAACACCACATGTGAATAGAATCTTAGTTTTGTTTTCTTTTTTTATTTTTTCGACCTATTCATTATTTTTTCCCAACTATAAAGTGCAGCTATTATCTTATTCTCAGCTTAAAAGCAGTCTACGAATTTCAACGCTTCAAGTTTAAGACTCGAAGTTCGAAATTCGGGATTTGATATTTTCTTACCTATTCTGTGATCTGGCCACATCATCGAAATTGTTTTCTTACCCTAAACTTTTTATGTATATGTGAGCTCGAGTATGGAATTCTGTTCACTCACATAGAAACTGAGTATCTGTTTGCCTCCCTTCTAGGATTAGATATGATTGAGTCTCCCTGGGTTTTCGAAATAGTGTCAAAATCAATGTTTCGAATCATTGCTTGAGTTTCCGAAATAGTGTTAAAATCAATGCTTTGAATCATTGCTAGTGGACCCAGATTTGTTCTAAAAAAGTTGAGGCATTTCGAATTCTTTGTTAACAGGATAAAGTAAAAAAAAAACGTCTGGAATTATTCCAATATTGGACCTTGGACATATAATAGTTCTAAATCGAAACCTCGATGCTTCTTAAATAAACGTTTAAGTGAATTGCCCAACATAGGATTGCTTCCAGCCGAGCACGCTTGACTTTAAAGTTTCGGTAAGGGAGTTCACCGATAAAAAAAAAATACAACATATTGGTAAAAAAAGAAGGTGCAACTTGTTGGTACGTGTAGCAGTACCGGTTATCGGTTCTTTTCCTTTGAATTCAAGGGCAAGTTTGTGTCGCTTTCTTATCTTATATTATGAGATCATGGGTTGGATATTCCACTTTTGTTTCACATTTTCTTGCATTACTTGGCACCAATACTATGGACACCAAAATAAAAAATATATATATATATTTTCTTTTTAAATTTTAAAATTTAAAATTTAAAATTAATTTATGAGACATGATTCAAGCTTCTCCACTTTGTACCCATTAGTCAATCATATCATGTAAGAGGACAGGATCCATCCCATAAGATAATGTTTTCTTTTTAATATATAAACAATTTTTGTATTCAAACATTGAGAAACCTTGATTTTTATTTTTATTTTTTGAGTGATATTTTATTTTATTTTTGGTTAAATTAGGTTTATTTTGGGTTTCGTACAAATATGTAAGGATTCAAAAAAAAAAATTGTTGGTCACGGAAAATTTGAAAATTTCAGCGAGGCACGTGAAAACACGAACAACCAATACCCAGCTCAGGACTCTTGGGAAAAAACACTCCACACACTCTCACCCTCTTCACCAGATGGGAGAAGGAAAAGAAATGACAAAGGTGAGCTAGAGAAGACGAACGACCGTCGTAGTTTCCGGAGAGCGCAAACCGGCAAAATTAAACCAAACCTCTCCCTCTCGTTTTAATATTACTATCAATCTCCCCTTGATGTAGAGAAGGCATGTCCATAGGTTGGAGTTTCTTTTTCGTCAAGCAATTGAGAAAATCCACGAGGTAAGATTTTAAGTGTTTTTCTCAGATTTAGGATTTTCCGTTGTGAATTAAGGTATGAAATCTTTATATGTTCATCTAGAGGGAATGCTCTACAGGATTTGTGAAGAAAGCTAGCCGAAATTTTGGTCCAAAGGCGGAGATATAAGAGTCCTTCCAAGAACGGTAAGAATGTTAATGGATCTTCTTCCCGTGCTCATAACTTGGTCTCTAGTGGCATTTAAATTCCAAGAAGAATAGTAGGATGTAGATGGAACTATGATCTAAAACTTTACTGAAGAGAACGACTTGAATTGGATCCAAAGTAGTATAAAGATATGAAAAAGAGAAAACTGTAAGAAATCTAATCGAAAACCGTTGTTCATCCGTAGGAGTAGAGAGAGACGGATTCGACAAGCCACATGTCGATCGGCGAGTGGAACTGTGTGTACCATCAGGTGGAGGACATGCATTAGGCGTCGGGTGGAGCCATGCGTCGAATGTCGCATGGACCATCACAACTCCACTCGATTTGCAACATGCGGCTTCTATCGTAATTCCGACCTGCAACCCGTTGGCACAACCAACCTGCGGTCCGACCCAAGTGAATCGAACCAGCTGACCCGGCATTTACAAAATCGACCCGACCGCGCGCAAGAGCCCAACTCCACAGCTCGCGGCTCAGTGGCGTATACAACCCAACTCATAGACGCCCGCAACCTGCGCAACCCGAGGACGTGACCCGAAGTCCGCACCTCGACCCAGGACACACCTGGCATACTCTCATCTCTCTAGCGACACTGTTGTGCATGCAGATGTCAACTCCTTCGGTTCACACGGCTCGTCAACTCGACTTGGCTCCGTGGTGGCTCGACGCAACTTATCGGCTGAAAACTCGGTTATTCGGCTTACATTACACAATTTTATACCATTCCTTATGTTTTCAACTCCAAAGCTGAAGTTGACCTTAATTAAGGCAATTGAGATCAGTATAGCGTCTTGTTTCCAAGTTTAAGGTGACTTAGGCTAGAAATGTGAGATATTAACGTAAATAAGATGAACATTCAAATAGGACACAACTTCCAACAAATACTTGGAGCAGCTTCGAGGGACGGAATTCAACCAACCAACTCTCTGTGTGCGCGTACGTGTGTAATAAGATGTTTTTAATTTAAATGTTTGTTTATTTCATTTAATTTATTGTTGTCTCGTTTTTTTAAAGATGTTTTTAAACACGCAAGTCCACGAGAGTGTTAGGTAAAGTTTATGTTATGAAAATGTTTAAATGAAGTATTTTCGCGCATTGGGTTTGGTTGGAACCTTTTTAAACTCAACCCAATTCATGGAGTTGTAAATTTTTTTCAACTCAAACGTTTAACCCAATTGAACCCTAAACTTTTTGGGATGGGTTGGTTCGCGTTGTTTGAGTCATTTATTCGTATTTATATTTTTGATAAAAGTATAATGTAAAATTTTAAACATTTAATTAAAACTTGTAATTGAATGTCCCATTTTTAAAAATTGCCTTTTAGATAATTAATATTGTTTTTAAAGTTGGTGAACCAATAAATAATTAAAAAATAATTATGAAATTATATAAAAAATAAAATAATTATATGCATATACAATTATCTAAAAAATAAATTATTTTAAAAAATTAATTTATTTAAACCCAATTTATACACAATCATATTTTAACTCTATTTATTATTATTATTATTATTATTATTATTTTGTAATTTTATATGAAAATTAAGATACGAAAATTGGAAAGGAATCTTGATGGTTGGTTGTGAGAAATAGTAGAACGCTCAACGAAACAGGTCTTAATAGGCTTAATTTTTGGGCCGAACTCAATAGTTGGGCCCATTATCTCAAAGCCCATATGTTGGGCCCACTATCTCAATAAGCTTTCTCTATGCTCAGTTGGGCCCACTATCTCAAAGCCCATATGTTGGGCCCACTATCTCAATAAGCTTTCTCTATGCTCAGTTGGGCCCACTATCTCAAATCACATATGTTGGGCCCACTATCTCAAAGCCCATATATTGGGCCCACTATCTTAATAGGCTTTCTCTATGCTCAGTTGGGCCCACAACACCCTTCCAACTTTGGAATATATTCTATTAGTGTTAAATAGTTCCCCATATTTTTTTTAATTGTTTATAAATTAAAATATTTTTTTTATTGATTTAAAAAATATATATATATACAAAAAAAAAAAAAAAAAATCTTTTAATCCAATAAATATTTTTTTAATATATCAATTTAAATGATATGGCTAATTGCCTTGAAGATCTACAAAAAATATTCACAGTTTACCAATAAAAAATACATAATATTATATATTTTTTGTTTTAATTTCTTCTTAGAATCTGACATTTTTTAAAAATAATTAACTTAATAAGAAACTTTAATTAGTAAAAAAAAAATTACTATTTTTAATTTAATTACAATATATAAATATAAACTAATAAAAATACTAATGCTATATACCTTCTTCTTTTTTTTTTTTTTTTTACTTTAATTTATTCTTTAAATTTGACTTTTTTTTTCTCTTCCTATTAAATTTAAATGGAAATGGATTAAGAATATTTTTAAAATGTTATTAAATTCTTTTTAATTATTAATTCTATTGAATGAATCAAAACGTATGGAGTCTCTCTAGCATAAAGTTCTAGATTCGTGGTTGCTAAATGAATTGCATCAACGTGTATATTATTATATCCGAACTTAACTTAATATAAATTTTGATTACGCACATAATTTATCAAAGGTTTGAATCACCCGACTCAAGTTTACCTTTTATCCAATCTTAACTCAAAAAAAAATTTGATTATGTACCGAACCCATCAAACGTAACGTTCGAATCGCTCGACTCAAGTTTTCCTTATACCCGAACTGAACCCAATATAAATTTCAATTACGCACAGAACCAATGAAACCTTCGTATCTCCTGACTCAAGTTTACCCTATACCCAAACTTAACTCGGTACAAATTTCAATTACACACAAAATCCATCAAACATTCAAATCTCTTCACTCAAGTTTACCCTATACCCGAACTTAACTTAATAAAAATTTCGATTACACACAGAACCCATCAAACATTCAAATCTCCCGACTCAAGTTTACCCTATATCCGAACTTAACTCAAATTTACCTCGAACCCAAACATAACTCAATATAAATTTCGATTACGTACATAACCCATCAAACCCTTGAATCTCCCGCCTCTAGTTTACTTTTTGGCGCTCGAAACCCTAAAGCGAGGAACATTCTAGCCTTTTCTTTTCTTATATTAATGTAAAGGGAATAATTGAGAGTTGGTGAAGAAAAAAGACATCTTCAAAAGTGGATTAGCTTAGCCCATAAACACACAAACGAGAACTCTCTAGATGCTCCACTTTTCCAACTGCTCCTTTCTTCTTCAATACAACTAGAATTTTTCCTTTTTATTGTCAAAAACACACGAGCAAATAGTGATAAAACAAAGAGAATCCCATAAACTCCATATCTTCTTCTTAAATACCTTCTTCTTCTCTTCATTTAAGCTCGTGTTGATCCGAAGATATGAGCGATCCCAAATATGCCTACCCGTACCCACCTCCTCCAGGTATTACTAGTTGTTATCTGTTGAGCTATGCTTAAATTGATTGCTTTCTGGGTCTCGTTTGATTTAGCGATTTGGATGATGTGATCTATTCACAGGAGGGTATTATCAAGGACCGCCCGTGATGGCGCCGCCGCAATACGCTGCACCGCCACCGAAAAGACAACCGGGGTTTTTGGAGGGATGGTACGTCAAAAAGGTTTGTTGTTTGTTGAATGGTTTAGGGTTAGAATTTGGCTAACAAAGGGTTTAACTTTGTGTGATGCAGCCTTGCAGCTCTGTGTTGCTGCTGCCTCCTTGATGAGTGCTGCTGTGATCCTTCCATACTCCTTGTCACTTGATATGAGCTTTGCTTGCCTAATTTGTAGCTGTGAAATGGGTTATGTTCTTCTACCTTCTTTGGGAGTGGGTTTGAGTTTGTGTAAACTTTGGAAAGAATATTGTTGATTGGTGTCTAGAATAAAGCTTTGTTTTGATGTGAAGTGTAGAGTTTAATTACGAAAGTTGTGAAATTTGTCGATCGTTTTGACTTTTCGACTAAAAAATTTGAGGTTAAACCGCTCGATCTAGGTTTCAAATTCAAGAAACAAAAGCGTTCTTGTATCGTTTGCCTAAAAAAAATTGTGAGATTTCACATTGGTTGGGAGAGAAGAACAAAGCATTCTTATATAGATATGGAAATTTCTCACTAGCAGAGGCTTTTTAAAAACTTTAAGGGAAGCCTGAAAGGGAAAGCCCAAAGAGGACAATGTTTGTTAGTGGTGGGCTTGGGGTGTTACAAATGGTATTAGAGTCAGATATGAGGCGATGTGTCGGAGAAGGTTGAGTCCCGAAGGAGGTGGACACAAGGCGATGTGCAAGCAAGGATGCTGGGCCCCGAAAGGGGGTGGATTATGCCATGAGGCAATTTGCCAGTGAGAAGGTTGAGCGTTGAAGGGGGTGGACACGAGGTAGTGCCAAGAAGGATGCTAGGCACCGAAGGGGGTGCACACGAAGCGGTGTGCAAGCAAGGATGCTGGGCCCTAAAAGGGGGTAGTTGTGAGATCCCACATTTGTTTGGGGATAAGAATGAAGCATTCTTTATAAGGATGTAGAAGGGGAGTGGACACGAGGCGGTGTGTTAGCAAGGACGCTGGGTATCACGGTCCTACATTTTAAGCCGTGCGGCGTCGTGATCTTGACACGCTCACGACTAGCCTTAAGGGGAATTAAGCCCCATATATATTTTTCGCCCCAGATTTGTGGCTTCGTCAAACCTCAAGCGAGGTTTGTATTCGCCAATCCGTTGCTTGTGCGGAATCCAAGCTTGTTCAACCACACACGCCGCTTGCGTGTGCATGTTCAATCGTCTGCGACACATCCGATTTGTCTCTATACTGGGTCAAGTCATTCGGCTCGACCTTGCCTCTGCTCGGGCCAAGGTCTCTCAATGCAACGTCGCATCTCATCTTGTCATCTTGATTCCCATCAACAGGGTTCATGTCTTGATGCCACTCCGAGTCTCGGGATGTCGTCGGCCATCATAACTCGCTCAGTCATGCCATCGAGAATGGGCCCGCATGCCTTTCATCTCATTGGGACTTCTCGAACATCCATCCATCCGAGTTCTATCGAGGCATTGGCCCTCCCGTGCCCATGCCGAGTCATTTACGAATACCGTACCGGATAGCAGGTGTCTGTAGCAACCTTCAACACGCAGTCTAGGGCGCAATACCGGCACACCCGTGCCATCCGGTACTGTCCTTCAAAAACCCATTTCAAAGAAAGTTGCCCAAGACACTCGTTTCGGCACGCTCGCCCACACTGTGACACACGTATGTGCCACAGGGTAGCTCACTTAGGCCACAGGGCCCAAGGGTGGTGGAGAGCTACACCATGGTACCCCCTATAATACATATATAACATCTTTTTCAAAATCTCTTTTTCGTAAATCTCTCTCTACCCTTATTTTCTAAAACCTTCTTCTTAAACCGAGGCCAGAGGCTCGAGCATACGTCGCTTGGCCGTAGGCGACGTAAGAACGAATTGACTTAGTTCACTTGTCGTTGGAAAGTGAGTGCCACACAATCGCAAGTCCGCTGCCATCAAGAGTGTGATTGTGACACTGGACACTGAAGGGGATGAATTGTGAGATCTCACATTGGTTAGGGAGGAGAACTGATACATTCTTTATAGGGGTGTGGACAAGAGATGGTGTGTCACCAAAGAGACGGTGTGTCACCAAGGACGCTGGGCCCTAAAGCAGGGTGGATTGTGAGATCCTACGTCAGTTTTGTGAGACCCCACGTCGGTTGGGGAGAAGAACGAAGTATTCTTTATAAGAGTTCGGAAACCTCTCCCTAGGACGCGTTTTAAAAATCTTGAGGGGAAACTCGAAAAGGGAAAGCCCAAATAGAACAATAAAATGCCAAAGAGAAAGTTAGTGGTGGGCTCGAGCCGTTACAAAAATTGTTCTAGGGATAGAATAAGAGTAGGTTTAGAATGATATTTACTCGAAAGGGAAAACCTTGAATACATACCATCACGTAATAGTTATCAAAGTCGACCTAAATAAAGAACAAAATTTTATATTAAATATTTAAAATATCAGTTATAAATAAATCCATTAAAATTTATTAAATCTAAATAATAGATTGAAACTAAAATTAATTAGTAATCATTAATTAATTAATATTTGTATTATTTCTCTCATGTATACAATTTTAAAGTTTTTTGAGTAATAATATATTGTATTTTTCAAATATTAATTACATTTCCTTGAAATTTTTTTTTTATTTTTTTATTTTTATTTTTATTATTTTTTTTAACTTTCAAATTTTAAAATTGGTTAAAAAAAATACCCTTAATTTTAAGATTAGTCTTTAAAAAATCATTTTCATTTAAAATAAAAAATGGAAATACATGATTACTAATTTATAAAAATTTGAAAGAAATTGTCCTTTTTTTATTTTATTATTTATAACATTTTAGCCCCTAAAATTGTATATTTTATATTTGAACCCCTAAAACTAGAGTTCGGTATCATTTTGATATATCCCGTCAAATTTTTAAAAATAATTTTATTATAAAAAAAAGTATAATATCAGCTTGCATTAGCTAGCAATGTCGAGATTTTAAATTCAAGGACCAAAGTGATACTAAACTCAAAATAAAGGGATAAAGAAAAAAGAAAAAAGAAAAAAAAGAATATATATATATATATATATATATATATATATATATATATATATATTTTTTGGAATGACTATCTTATAGATATGTGAGAAAAGAATAATATATAGAAATATATTTGTTTTTAATAAAATATCAAATATGATATATATGGTAAACTATAATTTAGTATTAAATATCCTTAACACTTCTCGCAAGCTGAGCGTCGAATTTGAACAAACGTGAAGCTTGGGTCTGAAAAATTCAAAAAGAGGTCGAGAAACACTTTTCGTGAAGATGTCAACAACTTGGTTTGAATGAGGTGTAGAAAAACACTTTCTTCGCCATTGAAAACTGCAGAAAGATCACCGCTGAGCGGCGATGTTGCCTTAGCTTCAGCGAGAATATGTCTAACCCATGAAAAGGGATCGTCGCTCAGCGACGATGTTGCCTTGGCTCTGGCGAGAACATGTCTAACCCAAGAAGTAGAATGAAAAATCTAGAGCAAGGGACAAAGACAATATTGAAACCGGAAGAGTCACTATAGTGGGTGAAGGAGCCAATTTTGGCGAGAAGGGCGGCGGTGACTTGGTTGGCGAAGAGGCCTGTGCGGCGTCCAGATTCCAAAGGTAAATCTCTGCAGAAGGTCGACAGGCTTATCGAGATTCCGTATATTTTCGAAGAGAACGCTGATGAGGATCCTGAGATTAGGATTTCTGTGAAGGATGAAGGGTTGATTGGGAGAAAATGAGAGAGGTTATGTTGGCCCAAGGAAAACCGATTATGTTTAAAAAGGTGAAGTTGTATGTATAGAATATGAAGAATGGTGATTTGGAGGTCAAAAGGCTAGAATCGAAGAGTAATCAACCGGCTCCAACTGCGGTAGCTATGGAGACTGTCCCTGCGGCGTCAAAGCCAACAGTGGTGGTGGAGAAGATAAGTAGAGCATTCAAAAGCCATTGAAAATAAATGATCGGGGTTGGTAAACCAAAAAGGCTCTGATACCATGATAATGTTTGGATAATTCACCACACCTAAATGACGTGAAAGTTTTCTTATTTATAATCAAATAAATTAGAGGGATATGGAAAAAGTAATAAATTGAAAGAACAATATCTCTGGTAATAAAGCAAATATCTAGATATTTACCTTTAATAATATATCAAATATGATATATATATATATATGATAAACTATAATTTAGTATTAAATATCTTAACCGTATGAACGGGTTTAAAATGAAGCTACAATGATATTTTTAAATGGGTTGAAGATTAAACTGCTCATTCAACTCTAAAGTACATCCATACCTCGATAATTTAAAATTTGAAGTAGACGTTTTAAGAAAATAATACTGAAATGAAGATTGATTTATGCATCTAGTAAATGTCATCTCTTCCATAAATGAACTTCGCTTGTAATTTGAAATTATAATAATAGTTTTAAATTTAATATGTTTTAATAAAATATATATATTAAAAAAACTCGCAGAAAATAGGATTTTTAAAGCCAAAAATCCAATTTAAGTAAATTAAAAAGAGTGAAAAATTCCAAATATTTGTTTTGAAAAAATCCCGCGAAACAAAAGCGACTAAAATATCATCCCAAACAAAAAAAAGTGAACATTTCCCGGTCTTTTTCACTGTGAATTTACCAAATTACCCCTCTCATGGCCCACCCATCGCCTTCACACAGGGGTCCACGTCATCAAAGTGTGGGACCCACTAAACATGAAACTCAAATGCACGTCACATTCACCCCAAATTCAAACGCAACTGACTTAATTTTATTCCCATTTAACAATCCAACGATATAGATTTCGCCACGTGCTTAAAACAGACAACATCCACCGTCCATTACACCTCATTCGGTCAGCCCACCGAGCAGCAAGCCACAGCGTATCCACCGTAAAATCGGTGAGATGAGTATCATCGACGGCTATCACTCTGCCCGAAAATTTCACGGGCAGATCTCAACACCTTTAAGAACCCCCCTTACCTCCCTTTGTTCTTCGCGCTCGCAGAAATTAGGGCTAAATCTTCTTTCCCAAACCCTAATTTCATTTCCTTATGGAATTTTTTTTCCATTTTTGTTTGAATTTTTTTTCTGAGGGTTAGATTTGGCGCGGAGTAGAGGAGAATCAAGAGCTCGTGATGTTTGATTTTCCCGCCTTCTGTTCTTGTTGATATTTCATTCTGATTTCTGGGTAAACAAATTTTCTCGCGGAGCTTCACCGGATTGACGAACGGTCTTTGAGTTGCTGGTTCCTTTCATGGCGTCTGCTGTTTTAGCAAATCACGAACCTAGTTGGCCGACGAGCAAACGCAACGGCGATGGTGGAGGAGGAAGCGCGTTTATGTCGAGAGTTCCGTTCTCGAACCCTAAATCTAAACCTAAAATGAAAAAGAGGAAAACTAATGGTGAAGTTAACAACTTCCACCAGATGAGTGAAGAACTGGCCAACGTAACAACTCTATCTCCCTCGGATAATGGCTCTTCCATCGATCGTCACCATGGATCTTCGAACTCCGAGTACAGCCAATATGTGAGTATCAATGTAACTTCATGTTCTGGAAGGGATTTGATTGATCTGAAGAAACGGTTGCTGGCGGAGCTTGAACAAGTTAGGCGATTCAAGAATCGCATTGAGAGTGGTGACGTTGGTTTTGGGCCTAATTATTTCAAGAAATCGACCGAGGCCAAGGGGATTAATAAACGGCCGAAGTTGCTACCTAGTTTTGGGAAAGATTTGCAGGTTTCGAATTCAATTGAAGTCAGGAATTTGATGAAATCTTGCTCTCAAATCTTGAACAAGTTGATGAAGCAGAAGTATGGATTGATCTTCAACAAGCCAGTGGATGTGGTTGGGTTGGGGCTTCATGACTATTACGATATTATTAAGCGTCCTATGGATTTAGGGACTGTGAAATCAAAATTGACTAAGAATTTATATGACTCACCTTTGGAATTTTCTGAAGACGTCAGGCTAACATTTAACAATGCCATGTTGTACAATCCCAAGGGCCATGAAGTTCATATATTGGCTGAACAGTGGTTGATGAAATTTGAGGAAATGTTTCTCCCTGTTAGTAGAAAGTTGAGTGCTCTGAAGCAGCCAGATCCATACGATGAGGAATTGCAAGCCAGTTCTTGGAATCATGTAGAAATGGAGAAGTCCAACTTCAACTCAAATTGGAACAAATCAGAAGAAGTAAGAGTTCCATCAAGTTCATCAAAGCCACCGTCGATACAGTCGCCGGTGAAAACCCCATCACCAGTAAGGGTGCCGCAGGTGAAGCCTGCAAGACAGCCAAAGCCAAAGGCGAAGGATCCCTACAAACGGGAGATGAGTTTAGAGGAAAAACACAGATTGGGAGTTGGATTGCAGGGGTTACCTCCGGAAAAGATGGATCAAGTTATACAGATTGTAAAGAAGAGAAGCGGCCATTTGAGACAGGATGGGGATGAGATTGAGCTCGACATCGAAGCTGTCGATACCGAGACGCTCTGGGAACTCGACCGGCTTGTGACGAATTGGAAGAAAATGGTGAGCAAGGTCAAGCGGCAAGCTCTCTTCAATGACAATGGAAATGCAGATTCGAGTAAAGCGAATAATGAGGTAAATTTCACCTAAGTTTTGCTTAAGGGCATGCTTGTTTTCTTTATCTGATGGGATTTCTGTACTTTTTTTGCATCTTTTGCTGTAGATATCATCTGCAAATGAGATGAATGAGGTTAAAACCGAGGGGAAGAAGCTTAGAAAAGGGGATATGGGTGAGGAAGATGTGGACATTGGGGACGAAACAATACCAATGGGAGGTTTCCCACCTGTTGAAATTGAAAGAGATGCAGCAGCTACTCATGCTAGTAGTAGTTCTGATAGCTCAAGTAGTTCAGGGAGTGATGATTCTTCCTCTTCAAGTGGTATGAATGATTACGGCGTTGGGTTTGTGATTCTGAATCATTAGAAAAAGCTTCTTTTGGGGTTAATTATTTTGAATCTCTCTCTCTCTCTCTCGTGTAGGTTCTGATTCAGATGGTAGCTCCTCCGACAGTGATTCAGATGGTGATGGTCAATCATAGGTTGTTTAGGATGGACGAACAGCTCTCTGAACTCACAGACCATTGAAGCACATCAGTTTCTTTAATCTGAGGTATGATGAGTAAGAACCCAGCATAATATTCTTCCATCATTGTTGTTACTTTGAACATACTTCATCATTCATGCTCTCATGCTTTGAAGAAACCAGCATAACATTCAAGCTCGAAGGAGAGACAATTTTGGAAGTTTTGGAGGTATCAGAAGCAAGAGAAATTGTAAATGGGGCAGGAGAACAGTTTTCTCATCTCTTTTTTTTTTTTTTTTAATACCTTAGAAGGTTGTTTTTGTGTACATAAACAAATTGTTGATTTCCCAGATCGGTATATATTTCCTGTTTTTCTATGTGAATTGAAATTTGTTCTTTTTGTATTGTACGCTTGAAGGAAGCACAAGAAGTGCAGTGATAGTAAGAACTTTCAAATTTTGTAGTCAAATTGCACAAACTTTTGAAAAGCTTTTCTTAAAATTTGATTTAAGATTCATTGGAAAACAAGTAAACTCGTCCTGCTAAACTGCTTACCGCTCGAGAGTGCAAGAGTGCTTCTTGCTCGAATTCTTAGGCTGGTATGAAAAGGTTGAAAATTGGAGTGTAATATTTGCCGATATTGAACTTTTCTAATAGTAGAAGCATTTTAAAACTCGTGAGGGGAAGCTCGAAAAAGAAAATTCAAAGACAATATTGACTAGCAGTGGATTCGGGTCGTTACATTTAGATACCGGGTGTTGTGCTAGCCTTCATTGAGCTCCGAATGGGAGAAGACACAAGGCGGTGAGCCAACAAGAACGTTTCTCCTAGCACATTTTAAAAAAAAGTCCAGAATTGACTAGAAGTAGGTTCAGGTCGTTACATTTAGATACCGGGTGTTGTGCCAGTCTCCATTGAGCCCTGAATGGGGGAAGACACAAGGCGGTAAGCTGGCAAGGACGTTACATATAGATACCAGGTGTTGTGTCAGCCTCTATGAGCCCCGAATGAGGGAAGACACAAGACAGTGAGCCAACAAGAAAAAAAGTCCAGAAAAGACATATCTACTAATGGATCGTTACATTTTTCCTAAACCTTTTCCTAGCATACCCACCCGTTTAGACCGTTACACTTACACTTATCCTAAAGTATCATAGAGAGTTCAAACAAGAGCGTTACACTTACACTTATCCTAAAGTATCATAGAGAGTTCAAACAAGAGGCGTTAGGTTGGTGGCAAGTATCATCAATCAATGGAAGAACAAGACAAGTAAAACCGTCCAAGCATTGAAATTTAAAAACATTGGACAAATTCTTCAATACATGAAAAAAGGAATTAAAAAAGGCATCTATTTCCCTAATAAGCTACAAAACTTTCAATATTTTACTAGCAAAGATCCATCTATTAAAAGACAGAACATTATCTAAAACTAAGAACAAGTACTGCCCGCTCATCTGCCAAATGCAAAGAAACTATGAAGAACAGGACATCATCAAGAATGAACAGCCAAATGATTCTGTCAATAATAAAATACAGAGAACAAAACAAAACAAATCAATCTAAATGGTATTTTGACCAATACTTGAGTTTGTGACTAGTAAGTAATAAATGTTCTACGTGTTTAACACTGTTTAAAACAAGAGATCACAACTATCTAGGAACAACCAATAAACACCTGCCCACGTCGGGCAATCGTCGATATTATAAGGTCGTCGTTCCTCCAGGAACCAGCCACAAAAATTTTGTTCTGGAAACAGAAATCTGAATCTGAATCTTCATGTGAGAGCTTTGCTTTCTTTCCTCCATCCATCAGGGTTTCATCTCAGTTTATAACAAGAAAACTTTGCTTCTTTTTCAAGTCAAAATGAGTAGAGATTCTCCAGAAACTTTCTACTCTCAAGAATAAAAAGCATAAATAGGCTGAATCTGTTGGATATGTTGCTATTATCATTCACGATGCTTCAATTGCTTCAATTTACTGAACTGCTCGCCGAGTTGAGATTCGCATACCGCTACAGCTTCGGGAGCCAAGCTCGAAAGGAAAGACTTACTAATGTTAAGGGAGGATACGAAATGGAAAATCTTGCCACAAAACTTGCGTACATCAGCCCGTCGTGCCTGCTTTTCAGGCATATTTGTCAGTAACTCCTTTATCAAATTGCATAGTTCATGCAGGAAGTTCTCCATCAGTTCCTTTGTCACATGATGTCCATTTTCAGAAGACATTGATGATTTTATCATCTCAGTTATTAGATCTAACGCTTCGATTCGCCGAAACTCCGAATTTGTACTGACACATCTCTCGAGAAGAGAACCGTAAAGATGATGTCCAACCCATGGCCTTCTTCGAATTATCTCTTTCAGAAATTCGGCCTTTATCTGAGACTTTTTACTATGAAAATAATCCACCAAAACCTTATCAAAAATATCAAATACTTTCTGTAGTTCAGGCTTGGACACTTTTTTTGCATCAATAATCTTCAGGATCCAAAATGATGAATTCTGACCCAGGGAAGTGATCATCTTGTAATGATTCAATGATGCTGTCTGCTTCTTTTTTGATACATTTGCAGCAGATTTCTTTTTCTTGGTTGGTTTTGAAGCCAACTTTAGGTTTTTCTCCAGCAAATTTTCAAGCGTGGACATTTGAACCGCTTCGCCCTTCGGATAGTCTTTTGCTTTGAAAATCTTTTTCTGCAAAATTCCCCATATCCGCTGTTCAAGCTGTTCGCTACCTTCTGTAGTATGAGGGTTAACTAATGCCTGAGCCAAATTTGAGAGCACTAACAAAACATTTGGTTTGCCTGTGCCACAAAAAATGACGAATCAGATAGAGACCATAAAATATCGTTACTCCAAGAAAAAGTGGGATACTGAAATGAATCACTTAAAAATATTGAACATGTCAGCAAATCATCCATGAAGCTGAAACATTGATCTAGTAACAAGATATGATAGTACTACACTAATATAAAGAATCGGACTGCTTGTGATTTCCTCATCTCCAGGTGTCCATAGAAATTACTGATCTAAGTGAAAGAAAACTATCTGAGTTTCATCCCAAACTTATCTTTCAAGAGTCGTGGTGCAGATTACAACCATCTATAACTCCAGATATCTACTTGGAAGATTAAGCATAAGGATCTTCAAGACCTCAATTGATATAACTATTTGGTTTTTTTTAAATAAGTTTACGAAGATTACTTCTACCATGAGTTTCTTTTTCCCCTAGTGTTCTAACAATCCAAGCCAAGTTTGAAAACTGGAAAACTAAAAAATTAAAGCATTCATTCTATTCAAAAAATGGAAAACTAAATTAGGAATTTTAGATATTCAATGAAGATGCTATTTTGGAATATAAGACGCTTGGAACATTAAAACAGATTCTGATAAAAGAAACTGAGATGTAGACTAATCGGAATGCAGTCGCCCTCAAGTTAGAAATGGCAAATAGATACTACTATATCGGTCCGGTGCGCTGGGGGTTTACTAACTGGTGCATCCTAATTGTGAAATAACATGGTCAATGTTTTTCGTTATATCTCCTCTTAAATCCTACAATGTTTTAAATTTATTAGTTATATTATATTAAGTTGCATCTGCTCAAGTCCTAAAAGATCCAGCTAAAAGCATCATACCTGGATTTTCATGCAAGTAGATTTCCAGAAGTGACAGCACACGAAGCTTGAATAACATAAGCTGAGACTGAGCAGTTTCACTCCCAGCCTGATTTTTTCGCTCTTTGAAGATTTGGGCAAGATAAGAGTCCATTCGAAACATTGCATCATCGTCCATTCCTCCATCAGATTCAGAATCATCAGAACCGTCAGAATGTTCTTGACCTACTTCTCCAACTTTATCTATGGCTTCAGATTCATCAGTATGTTCATCACTATCTTCATCTTGATTAATTTCCTCATCTTCAACATCAAGAAAATCTCCATCCTCATCTTCATCCTCATCCTCATCTCCATCCTCTGCATTGTGATGTCTCGAAGGTTTCAAATTTTTCTTGACAACCCTCAACATTCTCATCAGCCCATCATCAGTGATATCACAACAGAAGTACTTGAAAACCTACAAGACAGTCTAAACAAAGTCAGGTTCTCTCATCAACTAATATAATAGAGAGAGCCTTGAGTTATTCTCCTTGAGGAATGCACGTGCAATTGATAATGCTAACCTATTCAATTTGAGAACTTCCGGTCAATTATCATAGGCGACCATTTATCCAAATCAAGATGATAGATTGACCATTCAAACAGAGCGACACGGGTAATTTACACCACAGGGCAAGCAGGAAAACGTTATCATTAAGAAGAAGAAATCAAGCCATACATCCAAATAAGATAAATATGTTTTCTTCATCAAAATAAGAGAACAAGGGGAAATGAAAATACGAAACTAAGGGGATTACAAAAGCTTGCTAACTGGCATAGATATGAAGAAAGTATCATCGGTAAACACCAAGAAGAAAAAAAGGATTTTAACAATCTCCCCAAAAATATCTGACTTGTCCCCTCCCCTTGAGTATGCAACATGTGTGTACATACTTTAAATGAGATACCAAGAACAATAATGTGAATGATGTAAACTATAATACTTCTTATTCATAAGGAAACCCCCTTATGAGTAAGAAAATAAAGAAAAGAAAAGCATTAGTGTTTAAAAAGTATTTGAAAAAAAACGAACACTTGCTATTCATGCAATGAACATGCTTAAATGAGATAAAGGACAAAGCATAAGGGAGATAAATTTACAAAAGCGCCCAAACAATTTACAAAAAGCGAATTTCATTTGAAACAATAACTAGATGGGAGTAATTACTGAAATCCTCAAAGTTAGCTATAGTTTACATCAGCAATGCCAGTTTTTTTTATCAACATGATAATTGCAACCATATAATGTAAAGATAGAGATAGATGCAAAAATAACCCTCGATTACTAGTATACACAATTTGTAACATTCAGCCTTGCACGCACCTGCTCAATGGCAGACCTCATGGGTGCCGATGACTGTGGTAGCAATGAGAGCAATGTGTCCACAAGAACATCCATTAACTGCGGTGTTCCATCACCATCCAACTCATCATCTCCAGAGGAGCCTAGTAGATCAGCAGAAGAAAAGGCTTTCTTACAACATATAATTAATTCTGTTGCAGCCTCAGTAAATTCCTCTGGTCGAAGGAGCACTTGCAAAAGCAATTGGATGAGCAAGTACCTCAGTGCATGCAATTTGTTTGCATCAGCACTTAATCCGTAATTCCTTTCCTGACAACAAAGTAATATTTATTAATGACACCATAAATTAATATTTACAAAATTGCATGTCAAATTAAAAGATAAACTATTGATCTTTAATCCCTAATATAATATAGGTTTTTCATCAGTCAAAATTGAGAAACATTTTTGCAGAATTTCCTCAACTCTAATTATGAATTTCTAACATGTCTTCCAATTCAATTGTT